CAGGCGCACCCCTCTCCGCCCGCAGACGCACCCCCTATTACCTCTATTGCTCCCTTTCCAGAAGGAACAGGACAGCCCCAAAGAACGAGCCTGTTCAGTAATTGCTAACCCTCATGGCACTTTTATGGGAGCCCACGCGGCAGAGGACACAGCGGTCCAGCCGACAGGTGGTCGCTGATGCCAAACTTCAGCGCCTGGCTCCGGAGTGAGGGGCTTGAGAAGGGCCCGGGAGGACACTCCTGTGAAGGGCTAGAGGGCAGAAGTCGGGGGCATCGGGGGGTCTAGGAGTGCTCAGCGGACGTGCGGGCAAATGGGGAGAGCTAGTTTTTGAGAACTGAGCTGGCTGGAGTCTGCAGCTTGAAGCAGAACCGACAAGGCATTCCCCACAATTTATTTATTACATCTTTTGCCAAGTGGGGCAGAGCTTTGCCCAAACCCGGATCTCCAGGGTTTCGCAAGAGCCCTGGACCTAGGACTCCAAGTGACACCCGCTCCCCAACCCGTTGTCTTCAAACACTTAAATTAATAATCTTGCTGAAAACATGGGACTCTTCAGATGGAGGGCATTATCGTATCAATTTATATGTCCTGGGTGTAATTCAAAAGGTTTGTTAAGAACAACCCACCGGGATAAACCTGAGCTGCCAGGATCTAAGGAAATTTAGGTCCAAATGACGAAGACATCTCTCAGACAGGAGGAATGATAGGCGAATAAGGTGTTCATCCTCCTGAAAAGATTTTCCACCTGGTAAATTATAGCCTGTTATCCTCCAGGGTATTTTTCTTTAATCTTCTTAAGCCATTTTCCAGTATCTGAAAAACAATTTAAATATTCCAGGTACCGAATCCAATTACTTAGCTGAGTGAGTCTGTGCCTATATTTTGTCCAGTTGGAAGTGCAAACGGGACTCGGGAGTATGAGCCACAGCTTCCTTGAAAGCTAATGGCAGTTATTAAATGTTGTAGGCAAGGATAGAAACATACGTCCTTTTACAGAGGACTTTACACTTTTCTTCTTCCATCCCAGTGTAAGGACCAGATGTTTTTGTAAATGGAATAGAATCTAAACAATAAATTTGGACACAGATGAACCGCTTTCTTACAACAATAACAACAAAAGATAATGCAGTTCAGCAACAAATAAAACAGTTTTGTCCATCTTGAAGTCTCAAAGAGAGAACTGAGGTGATGAGAAAATAAAGGGCCGAAGGGAGAAAGACTTTACAGAATAAAGAAGGGTATTCCAGCATAAGCTCTGCATTTATTCACAGTGATACTATTTTTTTTTTTTAAATTTTTTTTTCAACGTTTATTTATTTGTGGGACAGAGAGAGACAGAGCATGAACGGGGGAGGGGCAGAGAGAGAGGGAGACACCGAATCGGAAACAGGCTCCAGGCTCCGAGCCATCAGCCCAGAGCCTGACGCGGGGCTCCAACTCACGGACCGCGAGATCGTGACCTGGCTGAAGTCGGTCGCTTAACCGACTGCGCCACCCAGGCGCCCCCACAGTGATACTTTTAAATAGTGCTCCAGAATATCTTATTTGGAAGAAAATAGCCGGCATCGCTTTGAAAATGGAGATCTTCTGTGGAACAAGTTTTGAACATCCAAGGAGATGGTTTTTATTTTGTGCATTTATGGCATGTGTATTTCTTCCTTACCTGCTAATGCCAGACCATACACTAGATTCTGGGGTGGTGATGAATGTGGACAGAATCTCCGCTGTTATAGGCCTTACATGGTAGGTGGAGGAGACAGAAAATTATCAAGAACACCAGTGACATAGAGATTAGAAGTGATGCAAGGCGAGTATTGGAGAGGTCACCAGTCAGACACTACCTGAAGAAGGTGGGAAGCACTCTCCCTGCGCACTGCAGCAGTGAGTTTCTTGGGAAGCCTTACTTTAGTGCACAGGCTAAAGGGAGGGCCTGTGGAATCTCAGATCTTCTGTAGGGAGAAACCCAGACTGCATCCAGGAGTCAGGTTACCTGGAATATGGTGAACTCTCCGGCAGGTTCCTTGGCTCTCTGTCTCCATGGTGATCTGTGGATTGAGAAGGAGCAGACTTTCTTAGGTCACCCATATCCTCCTCAGGAGTCACCCCTCTACTCTTGCCGCCCCATATCTGTCCTTCCAAAATCAAGCCAGTTTAGGTGACCGGGCTAATTATACTGCATCCTAGGGATACTGTGTGCCGAAGACAAAGAGAACTACATGTTGAATCTAAAGGCTTGAGTTTACCTGCTGGTTCTCTTGTCAGTCAGCTGTGTAACTTTAGGTTAATCACTTAACCTTTCTGATTCTTTGCGTCCTCTAGTGCAAGACTATGAGAATGCCACTTTTTGTTT